ATGTAAATCGCCATTTATTTATTACAGATGATAGCAATCTGTCTAATTTGGTTCTTAATTAAATCTATAAAATTCTTGATTGAGAATTTGGATCGACTTTATACTCACAATGTATTGTGCGTACTTAAATCCTTGACCATTTATATTATTTATAAGAATAAACTTGACTTATGACCATTCTGAAATACATGTATAAATCACAAGAAGGACTGCATCTATTCAAATGTACTTGCTAGCTATAGTACTTGCAAGAATAGATTCTTTTTTAACAAACAGTATTTTTTAGTACGACAACTTACATTTTGAAGCAAAAAAGTATGATCCGTAGGTTCTTTTTTTTTTTTTAAAAATTACATCATTACGCAGTGAAACTTTTATTTACGATACAATTAGAAATTAATCAGTTTCTCATTACTCAATGAGCGTATGCGAGATTGATTTGGGTTTTCAATGTAACGATGATTATTTGTCAAGTGGTGCTATATTCGTTGTTTATTATTTATCTAAAAAAAAAAAAAAGAAGACTTTCCGAGACATTTTGACACAGGGGATCGTAGAAAAATGCGATGTGTTAGTTTGCGGCTTCCCTATACATGCCCTTAGTTCAAATTTCAGCCGGTTTTTCTTCCTTCTGGGGGGATATGAGCTGAAATTCACCGACAATTAAACAGTTCCTCGAGAAATTTCCTTGATAAATTAAATCCTGTAAAACTAAGCATGCGTATGTTACCTGCTCCTGGATATGTTTGCTGTTTTTCCACAATTATGGTATACTCGCGAAATTTATTACAGCATGTGAGAAATTTACATGATATAGGCCTACTGAGCATTTTTTTTTTTGTGGATCTGCTAGAAAAAAAATTCACTCAGGTTTATTCTAAATTTAAATAGTCCCTATGACTCATATTTTTTTTTTTTTTTTTTGCTATGGAGAATTAAGAATTATAGATATATCTAACATATATAACAAACAAAGAAAAATGATTTCTTTTAATCAGTCTGGGGAATATGGTCTTGATCCGCCTACCTGCTACATGTAACGTCACAATGGTGGAAGTGACGCCTCGGTGTATGTTTTTGTGTGTTTATGTCGACAGACGAACCAAGACTACAAAGTTTAGATATGTTTTTGTGTTATTCTTCTGTAGGGATTTTTTACGGGGGGTTCAATGAAAATTTATTGTCGCAAATGTCGAAATGGAATCCTCTTTGTTGAATGACTCGAAACAACAAATAAAAGACGAAGGAAGTGTGGGATGTGTTTTTTCGTGATATTCACTAAAATATTGCATAAATAACTGACTAAAAGGTAAATTCAATCATTGATTCAACAAATTCATGCATTTTCAGAAAAAAAGGTCGTATATAACAACGAGAATAAGTCCAAGATTTTTCTCAAATCTCAGCTTAGGTGAGATGATCGAATCTCAGAGATGTTGGTGGCATGATGTTTTAGGAAAATCTCAGCTGAGGCAGAAATCTAAGATTTGAGGTTGAGATTTGAGCTGAGATTTTATACATTGGTGGCCCCGAAGCCAGATGTTCAAAAATCTTTATGAAAACTTTTACTTGTTTTGCCTCTGATATGCCCAGGTGCAGAGAAGATTTCCAAAGAAATAATGCATTTTTTACTACAGATTCACTATATTATCAATAGAGCCCCCCCCCCCCCCACACACACACCTAGAAACACCAGAGCCTCTCACCCTGGGACCTGAAGTTTGCTCATCATACATGTAAGTAATCACTTTGTTTATCTGATTAACACTAAGGAGCAGACAGGATTATTTAACAGAATTAATGCATTTTCACTATATCATCAAGAGCCCCACCATTATACCAGCACATCTGACCCAGGGGTTATGCAATTCACTACTCTGGAAGAAGCAATCATGCTCATCATAACTATATGCTTAGCTTCTTTGCTTTTTAACCAGAAGCAGAAAAGAGTATTTTCAACGAAATTTTGCTTTTTCACTATATAATCAATAGAGCCCCTCCCCCTTTTTCACCATAACCCTTGACCCTGGGGCTATGAAATTCACAATTTTGGAAGAGGCAATCTTGAATATCATAACAATGTACTTAGTTTGTTTAAATAATACCCAGGGGCAGAGAAGAAGATTTTCAAAGAATTAATGCATTTTCACTATATAATCAATATAGCCCCGCCCTAACACCAGAACCCCTGACCCTGGGGCCATGAAATTCACAATTTTGGAAGAGGCCCTCTTCCTCATCATAACTATGTACTTAGTTACTTTATTTAATACCCAGGAGCAGAGAAGAAGATTTTCAAAGAATTAATGCATTTTCACTATATAATCAATAGAGCCCCGCCCTAACACCAGAACCCCTGACCCTGGAGCCATGAAATTCAAAATTTTGGAAGAGGCCTCTTCCTCATCATAACTATGTACTTAGTTACTTTATTTAATACCCAGGAGCAGAGAATAAGATTTTCAAAGAATTAATGCATTTTCACTATATAATCAATAGAGCCCCGCCCTAACACCAGAACCCCTGACCCTGGGGCCATGAAATTCACAATTTTGGAAGAGGCAGTCTTGCTTTTCATAACTATGTACTTAGTTACTTTATTTAATACCCAGGAGCAGAGAATAAGATTTTCAAAGAAATAATGCACTTTCACTATATGATCTATATTGCCCCATCCTAGCACCAGAACCCCTGATCCTGGGGCCATGAATTTCAAAATTTTGGTAGAGGGCTCAATGCTTATTACAATGATGCGAACAGTTTGACTGCTTGATGTCCAGGAGTAAAGAAGAAGATTTTTAAAGATTGCATTATTTTTGGTGGTTTTAGCCCCGCCCCTCAGGCCCCAGGGGGACAGGGACCATGAAATTCACATGAAAGTCTAAACTAGACGTAATGAAGATTTAGATTTGCAAACAAGGTCATTACACTGACCATAAATTTCTCGACATGTAAAATTCTAAACAAGGCAGTAGAAAGCTCTGTATCATGGACTTAGTTGTCAGTAGGATGTCTTGGTTCAAAACAGTTACTACATAGAAGATACTCTTGCCGTTGCAAAATTAGTTGAAAGACGTAGACACCATCTGCAATTGATAATATAATGTGATTTTGTTTTCTTGCAGGACACGGCAATACTTTTATTCTTCTCATGTAGAAGTTTGCACATGAATTCTCCTTCATTAGAACATACAATAATAGGTCGGCAAATTAATGATCACAGTTTTTGGAAATGCGAATTATGTAAAACACATTGTTTGAAGGCTTTCATACCATCTGATGGTTTTGGGGTAAGAATCGTGATTTCTAATTTTCTTTAATTTTCTACAGGTTTTTTTAGAAACAAGATTTCATTAAAATCACTTCTTTAATATGGTAATTGTAGCACAGTGCTTCTTCACAGCATTTAGATATTTATCTCATGCACATTTAGAGCAATTTTTGAAATTTAAATATGGCATTCTTAAACATTTGTTACACCATTATACAATTACACAGGTATTTATATTTACTTCGAATTTTAACATGAAATTTGATTTGAGTAACATTTTTGTGGACATCCATGGGTTTTAACAGGTCTGGACGATTTTAATATTAATTGCCATAAATGCCCAGAATAAACGACATGCAAAGGCAATCTTTAAAATAATGTTTGTTTGCCCTCTCCCTTCACCCAAAGATGCTATATACCAAATTTGGTTGAAATTGGTTGAGCGGTTTCAGAGAAGAAGCTAAAAATGTTCAAATGTTAATGTAAGTCGCACGACGACGGACGAAAACGGATAGCAATAGGTCACCTGAGTTACTCAGGTGACCTAAAAATATGAAGAAATTCCTCGAACTTTTGGATCAACCCTCGTACATGTCAGTCATTAAATTTATATAATATACAGTATGCATAAGGAAGACCAAATGTATTATTACTGCATTAAGGAGACCAACTACTATCCACATCTAAATCAGTATTCAACCTCTTTCACTAATAAATAAATAAAATATGAAGAAATTCAACAAACTTTTGGATCAACCCTCATACATGTCAGCCATTAAATTTATATAAAAATAAATATGCAGTATGCATAAGGAAGATCAAATGTATTATTACTGCATTAAGGAGACCAACTACTCTCCACATGTAAATCAGTATTCAAAACGAGAGATTTTAATACCCTAGTAATTTACATGTTTAGTTACATGAACTAAATCTATTTACCTTTGTCATCACGCAAGAACTGTTTTACATTCATCCAACTTTAACAACATTATACATGCATACAGTGTATGCCATACATTAGGAAGACCAGATGCATTATTACAACATTAAAGAGACCAACTACAATGGAACAATGAGACAGTATTCCAAAATGTTCATCCCAATACCATAGTAATTTCCCTTAATTTGTTTGTATTTAGATGACCTAAATCAATTTATCTCAGCCAGAATTGGAACAAAAAAGCTAGTCACACAAGTGGCCAAACACATGAACAGACAGATGGACATGATGATTCCTATGCTTATATACAACCATGCTTATATACACCCAAAGTTGCCAAAGTAGAGCAGATGCAGTGGTTAGAGCGTCTACTCTAGAGTCGCGGAGAAAGAAGCTGATCCTTACATAGCGAGTTTGAATCCCACTGTGGAATGTGGAGACCCGTTCTTCAGATGAGACAGAAATATTAACTGAGGTCCCGTGTCACAGTAGGTGCTGGCTCGATAAAGATCCCTCAATGCTCAATGGCCGTAAGTGCTGAGTATAGGACAAAAATTTGCAGCTCTCCACCAGCAAGTGGTGGCGTCTCCATATGAGTGAAAAATTCTCAAGAGGGACGTTAAGCAACAAGCAAAATACACCCAAAACTTTGTTTGCAGAAGATTTTGTGATACATGCTTTACAAGTATACATATTGTTCATAAGGGAATAAAAATGCTATAATATATCATTAAGGAAAGCAACTGAAATTAAATGTGCACTTCTAATTGAACTAAACAAAATTACCCTTTGTCAGAATGTAGATTTATAAACAGGAAGGCTGTTTTTCTTCATTTTTTCCATGTCAGATTCAGACTGTTCTTCAAAAAATTCTGGCATACACCCTGTAAAAGTGAACAGTGCAGATAATAAAGAGCTTCTAAATAAACTGCATAATATTTAAAAGATCCACTTAAAAGGGATAACAAATGCATTTAACTGCATCAAGGAGACCAACTGATATCCATATATATATAAATCAGTACATGTATTTTAATTATGATATTTTAATATCCTAGTAATTTACATGTTTAGTTTCATGAAATAAATCTATTTACCTTTGTCCAATGACCAATGAGCACAAGCACTGATTTTTCCTCTTTTTTCTTAACGGAATCACCAGGGCCAGTCTGCGGTCCATATGATTCTGGCATATGTACACTCTGTAAAATGCATATTTGTACCATGTACAGGCATATGAACAATATTTCTATACTACATACATGCATCATTAAACTTAATAATCTTTTTTTCCAAAATTCATTATTCATAGTGTTTTGCTGTTAGCAAAATTCAACAAAAACTATACCGTATATACTCGCCTATAAGGTGGTCTGCCTATAAATCAGTTGTATTTTTTGAGGTTATTTTGGAGGGATTTGCTATTGACCCGCTTATAAATCGGTACAACTTTTTGCCAGAATCAATTGACAATTTCAAATCAATGCTCTGATGTTTTAACCTGGTTTCAAAATACTAATCTTTTTATGACTCACCTATAAGTTGGACATAGAGTATATACAGTACCTGCATTATACATGCATTAGGAAGACCAAATGCATTATTGCAATATTAAAGAGACCATTGCGGCAAATGAAATCAATGTATGAATTGTATTCAAAACTACGGGTGTACTACATGTAATTTGTCTGAAGTATATCATGATATAATGTGATACACAAAGACTTGAACAGGATATGTACATATACCCACATTCCTAAATGTAACAACAGTTTAAAAATCAATAATTTTTTTTTTTTTTGCAAATTTCACTGTCTAATTTATGAAATATAAAATATTATTTAAAACCATAAAGCATAAAATGGTTGAAAGCTCATTTAATACAATAACTGACATAAATAGGATGTTTAATCTACATTTATTAATATTGTGGGTCATCACCCCATTTTTTGTGAAGGAATCGTGAAAGGCATTGTAATTCCAACTTGCTCACAGAGCAAGTTTTACACAGAGGACCAACTCTTTATTCAAAATTTAGTTTACATACTTAATTTTTTAACAAGTTTAATGGGTTTATAAAACTTTAAACTAAGTCAAAATATTTTGCTTTCTAAATATGGACAAGAAATGTTTTTTGCTTAAAATCACCTTAACTTCAGATAAAAAAAATGCACTGTGCTCATCCTCTTCAAATGCCTTGTTTGTAAATAACTGATAAAGGGTACATCTCACAAATGCTTCATTATTACAAATGTCTTACAGTAAATATAGGCATCACCTCAACTTATTTCATTAGTAAGAATAAACCCTTAAGCAATGAATATAAATGCTGAAAAGTGGTGCATTGTTAGGAGTTGATCTTACTACACAAGTTTCGAGATTATCTCCATTGCACTCGGCACACCTCGGCCGATTCGTACCTCATCAAACGTTTGATGAAGGTGACGGAATCAGCCGAGGTTTGCCGAATGATCTCCATTGGTGCACTCTTTTGTTATGGAGGGAAGTTTTGTTTCCACATTAGCAGGCAGGTGGGACAGTTATTTATATATTGCATACATTACGTCATTGATATACTGTGAAACCTGTCTTATCCAACATGTTGAAGGGGAATAAAATCAATGTCAGATTAGACAGTGTGTCGGATTACCCAGTGTTGAATATTTCTGAGCATTATGATAAATGTCAGGTGACTTCATACAGAAAAAAAAAAAAATTTTCGTTAGGTTTAGAGTACATGTGTATTTAATTGTCAAAGTGTGTGTGTGTGTGTGTTTCTTTGTTGTATAAAATATACCTTCGGCTGATTAACATTTCTTTGAGACACATCATTTGTTACAGCACTAGTAAACTCTGTAGTAATATACGATAATTTCTTTTAAACGTGCAAAACAGATGGAACTGCCAATCACTTCGAGTTGTTGCAATTTAATTTTTAGCATTTTACTTACTAACAGTAGATATTAAATATTTTGTCTACCTTCTGTAAACAGTGGTTTTATTTTTTTTTCTACACTACATTTCTCTCCGATTTTTTCTGCATTGTTAACTTCTCAAGATAGACTGTGCTATTAATACCCTCTCGTGACTTTTCAAACAAATGGGACGTACCTCTAAAACATTGTTATTGCGATTTAATTTTTATCAAACAACATTAACATTTTAAAATTTAATGGGTCTACTTAAAGTGGAAGTTTTTTGCTTCCTGCAAATCTTTTATGTGCACAGTCTCACTTAATTCAGTGTATATTAACCCGGAAATGAAACATTTTCTATTAGACGAGATGCTGTCTTCAAATTGTGTGTTGTCATGTTATACAGTAGTTTGCTGTACTCATTTTTTAGGGAGACATGACTTTAAAGGACTCTGACTGCATGTTTGATTTCAATTTCAAGCAAAAAATCTTATTTATTCTGTTAGGTAAAGGCAATCTAAATATCAGGTACTCCTTTTTATTTTCTATCGCGTGGATGCTATTTTGTCAATGCAAGAATAAAATTGATAACAACGAAGAGTACTGATTGCCTAATTTTTAAATTCAAACACAGTTCATTTATTGTTTATATAAACACCATCAAACTAATACATGTAATTAACTACTAAGTAGACCAAGCTTGTGCCCAAATGGGACTAGCGACTAATTATGGTACAAATGTATAATTATGTCGAATTACCCGGGTAAAATCATAAGGTAATTATCTAGTCTTGTCGACAAAAAGCACCAGAATTCGGAATGTACAGTGGTCGGAATATACAGTGTTTTATTCTATATATATTATAAAGAAATTTTTGTGAATAAAATATTTAAGTTTTAATGGTTGGAAAGTCCAGTGTGCTGGATTGCACAGTTGTCGGATTGGACAGTGGACACTGTAACATCATAACTGATTGTCGGGATGCACTCTTCAACTTGAAAATTAAGGAATTAAAGAAAAGGCGTTAATTTTTTTCAATGAACAAAAAATCAGAACAAAAGAAACTAAGAATCAGAACAAAAGAAATATCAGTGGATAAGGCCACAATTAAAAAATTGTTGGTTTGGCATTGCCGATTGAGTCTTTAAACACTTGGGTCAGTAGGTAGGGAAAATATTTTTTTTTTTTTTGCTGATACAAAAATTAATGCTATTAAATTAATTGTGTTGTATTATTGCATTTTGTTATACAAATTAACAACTATGTCAAAACAGATATGAAATTTCACACGTCATACAGATTTCTAATACAGTTTCAGGTCTTGAGTGACAATTATGAAGCAAGAACTTCTGCTTTCTGCTTTCTGAGCAGGAAAGGGCATATACAAAACAAATCAAACAACACTAACAAATAAATGCTGAAATGATACATCGTGATATGTAGGTATATTGGGTTTGGATAATACACAGACATTATGATATGATACATCTCTCAAAACAATTTTATGATTCAATACATGAATCTAGACATTATTTAAGTTATAAAATTTTAATAAAATTACTTTCTTATTAATTTTTTTCTAAGGATAAATTAACCATAAATGTACAAACAAACAAACAAAAAAAAATCAAAAATCAAATCACTTGAATTGAAATTTACAGCAAGGTATTGCTGTAAAAATTATCATTAATATATTTGTCTAGGGAGGAATTGATGGGAATTGCTTTAATTTGTTTAAATTAAAAATTTCAAAATGATTTATAAATCATGATTGTCAAATGTCAATAAATAACACAATAAAGTAGATTCATCATTTAGTGTAATGGCTAAGCATTCAGATTTGTTGTGTTTCTCATATATATACTGAAACTTTGAATGACACAGTTTATAAACAAGCTGTCTTCTCTGTAGTAGCGGCACTAGTGAAGAACCCAACATGTTTCAAAACTTGTAAGAATGGCCTGATTTGAATGTGTAAGATACAGTTGCAATGCCAACCATGCCAACATTTGGCATTTGTTTATTTTTTAGTTATTTATGAACCAGCAATAATTAGGGCTGCACCAAATATATTGATACATATCTAGATTAATGAATATATCGTATCCAAAAAATAACTTAATTCCAATACATTTTGGGCAGGCAGTTTTTTTATGTAATTCTGTGAAAAAGTTGGGAATTTCAATCACCAAAGATTATATTTAACTGTTTTGAATTAAAACTGATCAAAAATGATATAATCGTTAAGGAGGTAGCACATCTTAGATGATTATTACAAAATCATAAAAATACATAGACAACTTTACTTAGCATGTTGATTTTACAGTCAAGAAAAGTTTGAATTTGAAGTGTAATTTTTAAAGACAGTGAGACAAAAAATTAAAAATGAGTTGCAAAACAATTATTATTTTTATAAAATTCATGCATAATGAATTATAAGACTTTTTTGACAGAATTGTTAAAGAATCCAATATATTGCATATCGCATTAAAAAATGTCTTCTTCTTTTTTTTTGCTCAATACACAGCCCTAGCAAAAATGATATACAACAAGGACTTTGATTGGATTATTAACATTCATTCAATTGATCATAATTATTAACTGTTATTGCACTTTCATTCTCAAAATGTTGTTAGGTATGTTGTTTGTTCATTCTTTTGCATTGATATTATAATTTATAAAAGAATATTTTAGCAGAAAAAAATTATCAATTTACCTTTCTTGGAATAAAGACATGTTGACCCTTGAGCTGAGATTTTCTCTCTTTCCATAGATGTGTTACACTGGGGTCCACATGATTCTAGCAGAGACCCTGTAAAAAAGGACTTAATTATGGAAAAGCATGAAGAATATATGCCTATTATACATATCTTAAATTCTAATAAAAACAATGTTTTTTAATTAAGATCCATATATTTCTAATGATTGACATAATACAAATTCAAAATAAAATATGCATGTCTATATTATACCTTAAGCAGACCAAATGCATTAATACATCCTTCAGGAGACCAACTTAAATCAATATTTGAGAAATATTTGTGAGAACAATAAATTTGTCTACTTTACAGTACTAAATGTACATGGAATCTATTGGATCATGTTACTTTAATTGACCTGCCTTAGTTCAACACAGTAATCTAACAAAGAAATTGAGCCAAAACAACATTTTAAGACTTTTTGAACAGTGCATGTTCCTATCATTTCAAAACCATTACCAGTAAAAAGCTAATATAGGAAAATGATGACAATTAATTAATATTGTACTTTCAGGTATATTAAATGAATCAATCTGATTCGTCAAGAAACATTTGTTAAAAAGCACTATTACCCACTGAATAATGAAGCCACGCCCTCCAGTGTCGCAACAGTCAACATTGCTTGACGACGGGTGATATTCCAAAAAATAGTGACTGCGCAGATTTATGCGCTCAAGGTTCACTATTATTTGTATTTGTATAAAACATTCAGTATAATATAATAAATGTTGCATGTAGTTGAGTGTAACATTGAAAATTTTCACCCCTCGAAAACCAAATACGTCAAAAAGGGGATAGGTTTCTTTTCCAACTTCTATATAGTTTCGCCCCTGCAAAAACTGGTATAGACCTAGGAAATGTTTAAACGGGCTAAGAGAAATCAAATGCATCGAGAGTACTTTAATTGTTTTTACCCAAGTTACATGCCAAAAAAGATTCAGAAAGACGTCACATAAAGTTAACGTTGATTTGAACTGAAGTTAGGGTGTCAAAAGTCATTCACGTCCAAAAGTGACATTGATCATGTGTGGTAGATAATAAACTCCTACGAGCAAAATATGCTGGCATAATCAAGTGAGGATCTTTCCCTAATCCTATATATAAATCCATTTAATACAATATTATATGCACTTAAGCAGCTGTTTATGACATTGTAAAATTATATAAACAAGACCAGTTTATATAATTTATAACAAGACCGGTTTATACAATTTATATACCAGGGTAATTAATAATATAATTTATATAATTTTATCAAGATAAGTGTATGGGGTAGAGGGAGCAGACATTGAGAAACAATGTTGTCGGACCTCATGAAACTAAACTAACAGTCTTCCAAATAACCCGGGAGTCCAATGCCAGGGACCTGTTAAATTTGCAGCTGGGCATGTAAAAATTGTCAAATTACATGTCCGAAGAGGGCATATGTGAATCTTCTTTCATTTTACGATCTTTACTTGCCATTTATTCTGTCCTACCCCCATTATTCCCGTAAACGTTGCTATATGTAATGTCTTAGATGGATTGCCTGTCTACATTCTCGATACGACCTGTCAAATGATTGTCAATCTAATCATTGAAGTGTTTAGTTTAACCTATTTGTTTTCTGGAAGTTTCTTGCTAAATTACGAGACGTTCATCGATGCCACATACTGTGGCACTACAGTCATGATCCCATTTCTGAAATTCAGTTCAGCTAAACCGGCCAACAAATGACCAGCATGCAACTCAAAAGTTATTAATGAACAAAAACGCTTTAGAAAATGGCAATCACGGTGAATAAACACACGTGGTACAGTCACGGAGAAATACAATGCTGAAAAAATTAATATAAAACCTTTATACCTAATGTTTTTTTTTTGTAGCACAATACTGGTAAATGTAAGAATTTTGAGTAGGGCATGTACAAATTTGAATGCGCTGGGTAAAAATGATAGGTCTACATGCCCGAAGGGCATGTGCTGAAAAAGAATTGTTGTGAAGACTGAACTAAAGTGACAGCGCCGGGAGATCATATAAAGTCCCTTTTATTACATAATAATTTGGCAAATTATCAACATATCACGCTAAAATTTCCAACATATCTTAACGGTGAGAATTTTTATTTTTTAAGTTGAAACCCTGTGACCTGTGAAAAAAATGAAATTTGTATCATCTAAAGTCTTAAGATGTATCAAGGTAATTTTCAAAACAAATTTGCGGTTGGGGTTATAAATGAAGGATAAAACCAGAGACCTCGGAATGGAATACTCGGAAGTCTCTGGTTTTATTCTACCTCAACTGGAAGTTGTATCCCATCTAAAGTCTTAAATTTAACAATGTATCGAGGTAATTTTCGAGGAATAAATGAGTGGTTTACAATAAAGAGTCTCGACCAGAGACGTCTGAAACGATTTATTTGACAAGAAAAAAGTCTCTTGAAGCAAACGATGTCATTTTAAAGTAGGTTAATGATTGATATATGAACAAAATACGAGCTTGAAGCAGGGTGCCTAAAATTGAGTTAGATACCTTGTGGTAAAAATAAGTAGGGGTGCACCGTATATGAAACAAGTGCCTGTGATTGATAGTCTGAAATTTCTCTTCACATAAATATTAAAAGCTTGCAGTGATCGCTATAAATCTATACAACAGTCAAGTTACATATGGTAAACTAACATAAAAACAAGATTACAACAGTCATGATTACAGAAGGTATATTTTGAAGACTCTAGGTCAGTAGGTGAATGTAAACAGGTAAACACACGTGGGACAGTCACCGCAAATAAATGAACCACAAAACGACTTATAACATTAAAATGTAAATATTCATCTGCACACAGAGTTTTGCATAATAATTTTAAAAAAGTGTAAATTAAAATATAAAATAAACAAACCTCAAACCTTGTAACAAGGCTTGTTTCCCTGCATTCTTATATCTGGTTCTCTGTCACTGAAAATGCAGGGAACCCAGGGTGCGTTATTAACTCGTACACAGATTTGTTGATACGAATAAACCTATAAACATATATATACGAAATAAAATATTATCTTAAAAAATGAAGAATTTCAAATTGCTTGAAAAATTATCTTTATGTAGTTTATAATAAATGGTTGTAATTGTATATTAATTTCTATCTATCCATTAAAATTTGATATTTATATCAGCTTATGTATCCGTCTGAACAATTATTGTTTTTACACTCCCTGTCACATCTTCATAGTTAAGCCTGTAAGCATGGTAAGTAGGAATCAATTTCAGTTGAAGGGGACCAAAACCAAACATTTTTTAGTTTCATTTGGTGGGGAGGGGGGGGGGTATAAACCCCAAATGATCATTTTATCTCCGTCACTGAACTGCTGAAAATAATGAAGGGAACTAGGCTGCGATAATGATTTGTAAAGAATTTCCAATTGCTTGGAAAAAAAAAGCTTTTCGTGTATGTGGTTTACAATAATGGTTGTACTTGTATATTTTCTATATATCCATTAAAATTTCATAGTATCAGTATTTCACTATTTGTAAACATTAACTGTTACAATAATATTAAATAAATGTTACACTCACTGTGTAACATTTAGTTACTGTCACATCTTCATAATTAAACGAGAATATTCCCTTCCGTAAATATTGCTATATATCTGAACTGTTACCAATTAATCTTTCTTTGGTGAAAGAAAACCTCAGGGATGGAGAATAGGCCCGTACGTAATTTAGTTGGAGGGGGGGGGGGTGAGCACAACCAAACAACATTTTTCAGTTTCAGGTTGGGGGAGGCTACAAACTAAAAATTTCTTAATAAGCAAAAGAAAAATACATTACCAGAGGTTATTATTTAGGGGGGCCAAAAGCAAAAGTAAAAAATAGATCATCAGAGGTTATTATTGAGAGGGTCCAAACATAAAGGAGCAATGTTTTCTATAGTATACCTAAATTTCATTTCGTACGTTCCTTCAGCCATGTATTGTATCAAATCTGCTTCACCCTTTTTTTACTGCATATGTATTTTAACAGCAGAGGACCACATTATATTAATAAATAATTATTAAATTACAGCTATTTTTTTCTTACAGGGTCTGTTTCATTTATACTATATCATGATGATCATGTCCTGCATGATGTTTACAGAAAGTTTAATTTAAATTTTTAAGCTCGACATAGCTGCGTCAACTTGCGAGACTATTTTTTTCTACGTTCGGCCTAATCTTTAAATATTTTCTGCAATTTGTTTGTGGACTTGCATAAAAGAATTAAAAATATAGGGGCCTATCATTTAACTTTATTTCGAATTTCCTTCAGGATTTTATATACCGAACTATAGTCTAATGATTATTTAAAATCATACTTTTTCTCTTAAAAGCTAAATTACTAGGCCAAAAAAAAAAAACAAAAACAAAAAAAAAACACGAATGTTTGTCTTGCGTATTCTTAATTACAACTTATTACTGTATCATTTTAGTTACTTACCCAAATTTCTCAACATTCATGATGTTCAGAGGTCATTTTCTGAAAACTGAAGAGGCATTCAGATGGCATTCGGAACAAATGACGGAAAGCACTTGCTAAGAATTCAAAACATGGTCCATAAATTTACAATATTTTTCCTTTTTAGGTTTTTAACATAAAAAGTGGAAAACTAAGTTAAAGAAACACTCATTTGAACATATCAAAAGCGGAAAAAATATATATGCTAGATTTTTTGTTTAATTGCATGTTTTTCATGGTCTCCAAAATGCAGAAAAATTATCCTTTGAAATTATACGTAGGTTATACATTCTTTTCTTTTTTAGGGAAGATGATAGGAATTAGACAACTTTTGAATGTTAAATAACAGAGTTAAAGATTAATAATATTTAATGGCAGACTGTTTATTTATCTATAAAAAGACATTTGCAATACTGATGAGGTCAAAATAATAGGGAGACCGAAAAAGGTCGCCTTAATCCAGTGGTCTCCCTAAGCCAGAAAATATATCCTCCTTGGTCTCCTAAAGCCATATGTCATATATATATATATATATATATATATATATATATATACTCCTATGTAAGACTCCCCCTATTACCAAATTTTCACTGGTTCTTCTTTGTCTCCCTCTGAAAGCGGATGTGGCCCTTCATTTAAACAAACATGAATCCCTTTTACCCAAGGATGCTTTGTAGCTGAAACTGGATCTAGAAATGTGGTTCTAAATGTGAAAAGTTTACAGACGGACGGACAGAGTGTCGACGGACAAAATGTGCTTAGAAAAACACACTTGATCTTTCAGCTCAGATGAGCTAAAAACTGTGGGAGGAGTTATCCGGATAAATGGGGTCCGCCTGCCCAACCGCCATTTTTACCATTCCAATATCCGAATTTTTCCTACGCAAAACCCGGTTAAAACTAGTCAGGTAGAGCGCAAACAAATTATTATAATTAAATCTTTTAAAGGTGGCCTGATAAATATTTTAAAATTCTTGAACGAACAAGTACCGCTGCATATAAACTTTTTGCCAAATTATTTTTGATAAAACGGGGGAAATCCTAATCTAAAAATGAAGAGGGGAAAATTCGGCTCTAGTTTTCTTTAAAGCTTTTAGCTGTAGTAATCTTTTACGAACTTCAAATTGACCTTTACCTTGATAATGGACTTACCTGAATAACCGACGAGTCACATGTCCACCTTCATCCCCAAAATCCCCAACAAGTGCACGCTCGTGATATTCACCACAAAACACCGCCATGACAGTATTTATGAAGGATGACTTGCCACATCCATGTTGACCGATTATAGCTATTGTTTGAGGTGGTTGTTGTAGATTATGCACAGTTTTTTCCAACAAATTAGTTTCTAACTCTAAATCTTCTTCTGAGTACTTCACGATTTCTTCCGCCATTTGCAGTTGTATACACCTCACATAACAAGAAATTTTCTTATCATTTTTACTTATTTTGATTTAAAAAAATTGAGTAGTATTTAAATTTCATGTATTTAATATTCACACCCTATTACCGTACACCAACTGGTACTGCCGATGGAGACGGACGGACAGTTGTTTCTTGCTGTGACACAAATTTACTTGATTTTTTTATCGTGTGTTTGACTATATCTATAAGATTCATTTACTCTTGTATGGTAATTTTCCGTTTTGGTCATACCATTAACTAGTTTCCCATTGAACATGAAACTATGATATCTTATTACAAAATAAGAGCAGAATAAAGTTAAATTCCAACATTATTAAAATATGAATCTACTTTATCTAATTTAAATTAAGTTTCAAATTCACGAAATACACGATAAAAATCACGCACATGTCATAGCGAACAGCAACTTTGTCATCTGTCGTCCAAGTTGCATCGGAGTTCAAGTTGCCAGTAATAGGATGTGATGTATATAGAGACGCATGCATCTGTTTTCTAAAAAAAGTTAAGGATTATTTTAGGAAACAAAATGCAAGTTTCGTTTTCTTTTCTTGGTATCTAGACACATGCATTTGTTTCCAAAAAAAAAAAAAAAAAGAAGACGTTTCGTTTTCTTTTCTTGGTAAACAGCACAATCTTGATCCAGGAAAGATTAACACCGAAATTGTAAGTGTCTTACCTTTAAGGTTGTTATTTCAAAAATCAATAAGTGTATTTTGGTATTAGTAAGGGTTAAAGATGCAATTCAATTTGCCTGTACAGAGATTTCCCAATCTATTATACTCGGAGTAGTGTTCTGACACGTTATCAAATGTGGGTGCTACCGAACCATCAATCGGAACATTACTCGGCCTTTTCCGTCAAGTCTCGTGAATTTCAAATTAAGCAAGCATGATCTAATATTCATAAAAATACTAATTATCGATCCAGGGGCCCGTTTCATCAAAAGTCGTAAATTTAAGACCTAACTTGGGTGTACTTTCGGGGCTTACGCCAAAATTTAGTCGGGCGTAATTTGCGTTTCACGTAGTAGCGTAAGACTAGTCGTAAACAATACGCTTAGTCTCAGGACTAAGTCCTTGACAACGCTGCATTGCACATGCGCAAAAAACATAAACGTACGCATTGTCTACAATTCAACATACAGTGTTGTTCTACATACATTGTACACAATACGGTCACATGTACATTAGCTTAAATGAAAAATTACAGGAACTTTTAGGGACCTTAAAAAAACATGCATTTTAAATCTACTTATTATAAAATATTAACTACTTACAACATACCATGTATGATGAAACTTCAAAATTAAAGGTCTAAGAAACGAAATAAACGTTCTTGTAAATGTATTGATATTTATTTTGGAATATTTGCATCCCCCCCCCCCCCGGCTCACCCCTCGATTCTGATACAGGTAGAGAGAGAGGGAGAGAGAGAGATTCCGTTACAATTGTACGATATGTAAGTTGTAACTGGGCATATGATTAAGAATCGATAAAATAATACAAATATGCATCATCAGGAAAAAATAAAAACTTTTTTTTATTTCTTCCGTGACATTACCTTGTACACCATTCCGTTTGTTCCTAAAAATTGTAGTATTTCTTTTTTTTAAATGCGGATTCTTTTTATTTTTCCCGATAAAGAAAGGCATGTAATAAAAATGATAAAACGGTTTTAAAGTTCAGAATTTATTGTAAGTCCAAAAATTTTAATTTCACAAAGACAATTTAGAACAAACTGAATTTAACAAAGAATTTTCGTAGATTGACTCACATACAAACTCACTCACATCTAATCTTTGACAACTCCGCCCACTTTCGTACTGTCCAGCCAATTAACTTAAGGATAAGAAAGTTGCATGAACAGGGGGAATCCGTATGACATTAATTTACAACACTGAAATTAGGTAGAGCTAAGCATGACAAATTTAAAGAACACAATCCTAAAATCTAACCATAAAGTTGATAACACATATCATTATGAGTAAATGACATTGATATCGTGAGACAGGAAAGAGATGTCAAGGATTAGATATTGCTACCATGTGCAAAAATGCCCTTTCTAAACATCAAATAGAAACAATTACCTTCAACTACAAATGTCAAACAAGACCGAAAATTAATAGAACAAATATATAGAAATAGATTGATAATTAATAATTTGTCATTTATAAGTCCTCATAATACATAATCATAACAGGCAAGTACCATGGATATTCATTTGAAATTTTCTGAAATTTATCATTCATTGTTTCAACATGAATATATTGTCATACATGGGAGTAATAATTGTAAAATTACAGTCATTTCCGAGTCAAGTTTCTCTGACAGCTGATTCGCAGAATCTACCGAGTGACTTTGTTGACCCCTAGTCCCTTAGGTAAAATTCTCTCTAATTTGTATTCAATATCAGGAAAAATTGACTTTCAAGCAACTGGAATCTTTTTCGTCTTTTGAACGTTAACAACTTTTTCTGGACGCAGGTGCGGTTCCGTGGGGGGTTTGAAGATTCATTGTCAGTCATTGCTTTTAAAAAAAAATTTGTATCCAGCAAAGAACTTTTAGAAATTAAGCACAAATTCAACTATAGTAAAGGATATTTATGCGAACAATTGGGTATCAGTGCTTTATATTAAATAGTTTCGGATTTTAAGCAGTTACGGGCAATTTTCATTAAAAAATGAAAATAAAACAAACAAAAAGGTTTGTTTCTAGTGAATTTTTGTATAAATGAAGTTACATTAATTGTCGAAAATCTAGGCCATATTATGGCGAGATCAACAAGTCCGTCTCTTTTCATCTCAAGGCTAAATGTTTATTACTGCCAGAAGCGCTTTAGTGGCGTTTAATTAGAAAAAAATACATACTGTTTCTAAAGTTGGAGGTGTGTTTCGAAACTTTTAAAGGGTACATATTTAATTGGCGAAGTATGAGACCCTGGTGGATCATCTTTCTCAAGTACACTTGGTTTCGTTAAACTACGAAGGATCTCCAAAATAATGAGCAATCTTCATAGCATTTCCGGATTAGCCATGGATGGAGTTTTCTCCAAGGAGTTCTACACCATACGATATAAATACAATAAATAAAAGGACGAAAACATAGCTTCGTTTTACATTCAAATATTTACAATTATACACTTCATGTTGTGATTAATGGCCATCTATTAATATATCTTAATTACCACGAACTGAAAAAAAGTTGACAATTTACACAGATATTGTTTTGTGTTTCTTAGATAAATATACGAGGGCTGTTCGGAAATTATTGAGACAATGTGTATATTCTTTTTTCTAATGAACGTCTTTCGGTGAAAATTTGCATACACGTTTGACAAATAATAAAAATTAATAAAAGCAAAAAATATTTTACAAATATTTTATTTCTTCTTCTCGGTGGTATATTTATGTGTCAATGGTGGGGGTACCCGGCGCAGTCACGAAATCAGATGTTGAAAATAAGTTACACCAACGTTCAAACTCCCGGTGGACTCATAGTAAGAGCGAAAATAATTCAATTTATGTATATAATTTTTCAATTTAATTTTCACTTCATTTTGTGCAAGTTTGTTAGAATTTCGATCACAAATACGGAGATCATAAATAAATTTAAGCGGGGCATAGAAAACTGAGAACGAAGACAAAATGGAATTTGACGTCAAGGCGGCGCAGCGAGCATACCTTCAATTTTGTGTAGCGCTATGGAGAGAACTCTTTTCCAGACTAAACGACCTGCTAAAACAATAACAATGCAAAAAATGTGTCTAAGGGTTTTATTTTTTCATTGGTATATATTTTATTCTTACAAAATATTCAACAAGAGTAAAAACAAGAGCTCCAGACGACCATCAATTATTACGGAGTAAATAACGTGGACCCGCTGTGCAGAAATCGGTACTGCGTGATGTTAATTCGACCTGTATATGACACTTAGTGTATTTTTAATATATTCGATCAGTGCATATTATCTATTCAAGATATATTACTAAAGTCAGGTACTCTTCACACAATTGCTCCGAAGAAAATAGTTCCATTCATGATCAGTAGATACAACATTACAACAAATGTTAAGAATAATGATATATATTTAGTATGTCAAAGAAAACAAAATTAACGTAAAAAGATTTTAAGAAAATCACTTTTTCCCCAGAAAAGCAAATAAAATGTTTTCATATTCCTACGCTCGCTGCCCCCTCAGTCTTTTTCACGAAAATATATAGGTCATACTTCGATTGATAATGATAAATCTTTTCACCAATTATATTACTGTCATGATTATTGTTTGTTAATTGTCGTATATTTTCTTTTGAGTGAGAATGTTAATCATTAATTGTGTGTGTTTTATTTTACTTTTTTTTAAAATAATGGAATGGTTAGACACCTGCAATCGTAACTTCTCGGCAAAGCAACTCGTCGGAAAGGATCTTCGCACGTGTGTAGACCTAGGCTATTTGGTCTTGCAAGCACAGGTGTATGCACCGTTCGCTAGTGACGCTTAGATCATGTAGATTGGGTATCAGTATTTGATACGGACATGAACTGATGAAGAAGTTTAGAACTATTCACCGGTTTCATAACAAGTGCAAGTTTTTTACTCAAGCGATAGAGGGGCTGAGTTATCTAAAATGATGCTAGGTCATCGATCTACTCAGTTTAAAATCACGAAAATATACTATTTCTGTAATTAAAAACATTTCTAGAAACAAAAATGAAGTTTATCTTCAAAACGTCTGTATATTCAAAATCTTATGTTAAGTGTTAAATGTCGGATTCTATTCTATGACTATAGGGAATATTCAGTGATGCTCCACAACCGATCTCGCGCTTTCCTTTGCGTTTAACAACGACCGTCAATGCATCTCTGGACGAGTTCATTGATTACTCTAAAAGGTGACAGGTTGACCCATCTTTAACATCTGCCTATATACTTTGAGTGATAGTACTTTAATAGCACAAAATTAACAAATAAATTAAAATCTATCCTTGATAGATCTATATAGTTTTGCTATTCAAAAAA